TGCAGAGCATCAAACAGGTAACGACACACGTCATGTGTTGCACACGATTTGGACCAGGTACTTAATACTTGAATGATATTTGTTAACTCTGCTGTGTTCGGTTGTCAGTACTGCTGCGAGGTGCCGGGGGGCGGGGCGCTGCTGGCGGAGGGCGTGGCGCGGCTGTACCCGCGCGACGACTGCGAGCCCGCGCCGCCCGGCAGCGCCAATCAGCCGCTGCACGACGTCATGCAGGAGGCCCTCGACGTGCACTTCCAGGTCTGACCAGGCCCACCAGACATTGCTATACTGTCACTTAAGAATAGTGTGACAACTATTAAAACATCACGATGCAAATCTTGTCGATAGATGAATTTTAATTTGATTTTTGTCTCGAATAAACAAAAGAAAATAATATTTTAGGGTCTCGTGTTTCGCGAGCGCAACGCCGGCCGCGCGATCGACGCTCACATGTCGGACAAGGGATTCAACGTTCAGATCGGCATCGACCCGGAGACCGGCTTCCCGTTCGGCGGCAACGACGCCAACTGCGGCACCTGGATGGACAAGATGGGCTCCTCGGAGGCGGCGGGCACGCGCGGCAAGCCCGCCACGCCGCGCGACGGCAGCGCCGTGGAGCTGGTCGCGCTCGCCTACAGCGTCGCCTCCTGGCTCGCCGCGCAGCACCGCGCCGCACGCTTCCCCTACCCCGGCGTCGCGCGCCGACACCGCGACGGCTCCCTCACCGCCTGGACCTACGCGCAGTGGGCGGACCGCATCCGCCGCAACTTCGAGCGCTACTTCTGGGTGCCCGCCGCGCCCGGCGCCGCCGACCTGCGCCCCGACCTCGTGCACCGCCGCGCCATCTACAAGGACACGCACGCCGCCACGCGCCCCTGGGCCGACTACCAGCTGCGCTGCAACTTCCCCGTCGCCATGGCCGTCGCCCCGGACATCTTCGACCCCAAGCACGCCTGGCTCGCCCTCGACAACGTCGAGCGGCTGCTGCTCGGCCCGCTCGGAGTCAAGACGCTGGATCCGGCCGACTGGGCCTACCGCGGCGACTACGACAACTCCAACAATAGCGACGACCCGAACGTCGCGCACGGGTTTAACTACCACCAGGGTCCCGAGTGGGTTTGGCCCATCGGGTACTACTTGATGGCGCGACTCGCCTTCGCGCAGGAGAACGGGAAGTACGCGAAAACCGTGGCCGCGACGTACGCGACGCTGGCGCCTTTGGTCGCGGAATTACGATCGTCGCCGTGGCGCGGGCTGCCCGAGCTGACGAACGCGGGCGGCGCGTTCTGCGCGGGCTCGTGCCGCACGCAGGCGTGGAGCGCGGCCACGGTGCTGGAGGCGCTGCGCGAGGCGGAGGCGTTGCGGGACGCGCGCACGCTGACGGACTGACGCGGCGGGGCGCGGGCGCGTCGCCTGCGCCACGCCGTGCGCGCCGCCTCCCCGCGCCGGCTCTACTCCGCGCCGTACGAGCCGGCGCCCGGCCGCCCCTCTGCGCTGCGCCGCCTCCTGCGCCGCGACCCCCCGCGTCGTCTGTCGCGCGCCGTCTACAACCTGCTCGGTCGCACCGGCGCGCTCGCCACCGTCGTCTACAGCGACCGATACTTCCGCTACGGGCTGCCGCTGCACGGCCGCGTGCCCGACCCCGCGGCCCACGTCCGCGTCCTGCGTCCTCACCACTTCGTCCCGCTGACGGCAGTCGAGCCGCGGCCCGCGGCGGGGTCCGGCCTCCTGCACGACGCCGGCGAGCGGCTCGTCATCCCGAGTCCGCGTTACGCGCCCCTGAAGCGCTGTCGCCGAGACGTACCGCGCGTGTTCATAATTTCATCGATGCCGCGATTCGGTGAAACGTCACCGACCGAGTACCGCGGCCGACATCTGACGCCGAATTACCGACAAACGGCCGGCGGATCTGTGGGGGCGCTGGCGGGCGGCGCGGCGCTGCAGCTGCGGCGAGACTCCGCGTCCCGGGCGCGCGCTCCCTCTCCCGACAGGTCGACGGGCTCGGAGGAGGCGCCGCGGCCCGAGTTCGCGCTGCCGGAGGAGGAGGCGGCGCGGCGGAGGGCGAGCGCGGCGGACTCGAGCGACGAGCGCACGTACGGCGCGCTGGCCAAGGAGCCGGCGCCGCTCGGGCCCAACGTGGCGCGCGAGGGCGGGGACAAGACGGGCGGCAAGGCGCTGCGCCGCAAGGTGCTCAACACCGAGCGGTACGCCGCGGCGCGGTACAACAACGGCGCCACCGCGCGGCGCACGCGGGCAGCACGCGGCAAGGACGCGGCGCGCCAGCGAGCCTTCGTCCGCGCCCTACTCACCCTCAGCGGCGCCTTCTACGCGCTCGCCTTCATTGCGTTCTACTTCCTAAGCCTGGCCTGATGCGGCCATTGTGCCATATTTTATGTTTTAGCAATATTTAATAAAGTACTTTATTGTTTCCCTGGCAACTATAATTCTAGGTTATATTTTTGTGACGAGGGCATCGTTCATGCATCGTTGTGATTGAAAGTTAAGAGATTTATAATTTTTTACTTTTTATATGAATATAGGTTTAATAATGATTTTATTGTTTCCTAAGATAAAATGTTTATTTTGTGCAGTAATTGTACGCGTAAATTTAAAAAATTAAAAGCCATTGCTTCCTTAGAAGCTTGAATTATTTACAAGTAGTAGTAGTCTTTGTTAAGATAATGAAGTATAATAATGTTATAATACTAAGAATACTGTGTTGTCTCTGATCAAGAAACTATAAATTCTAATCGCAATTTTTGCGATTTCTTTTTTCTGAATTTATATAAAGACATCAATAACAAGAAGATTTTCAGAGCGTTTTCATTAAAAACAACATTAATGTCATAATGGTAATTTGTGTGCTTTGATAATAAATGGTCCTTCGAGTCGGCTAAAAATAAATAATATATTTGAACCGAGCATGATCAATCAACTAACTCAAACTAAACAATAACCTCGATAAATAGTACAATGCAATAATAAAAACATATAAGGAAAAATAAGTTTATTTTTACATAAATATCTGTCGATACAAAATTATATTTATTAATTTTATAATATTTATATGTACTTTAGTGTCGTAGAAAATAAAGAAGATCGTTTAATGTTCAGATATTTTATTGGATTTGATAATGTTAATATATGATTTAAATGTTTCTTTTGTTTTAATTGAACCTTTTTCCAATACAATTTGTCCAGAACGAGTACTCGTTCATTCTTATTTTATTGGGACATTTCTACATAAATTACTTAATAGGAATAAATATAATTCAGAATTGTAAAACTGTAAGACAAATATTAAGAAAAATGGAGTCCAAAGTACAAACATTTGTTGTAGGGATCTACAGCTTCCAAATCGGAAACATAACTTATCAATGCTTTTGCTTATCAAAACTACAATTTCAAACATTTATTTATAATTTAAATAAAGAGAAGATGAACTGATGTTTTGTTACGAAATGTTTACATTTAACTATCTTCGTATCTTATAAATGTTATATAATAGTAATTACATAAAGCATTTTTACTAAATCAGTCTTGTTTATGAGTTATTGAACACGCACGCCAAGCTAGTGTAATCTACATTTTCTCAGCCTATAGCATATGTGATTAGATCTACTACTAAGTTTTACACGTCGCAAGATAGTAGAAAAGTTTTTTAAAAATGGATATCGCTGTGACTGGAGCGGCGGGGTACATAGGGGACCTGTTAGCAGATGCTCTGTTGGCGAACGACTCGCCTCTCAATGTGGCAAGTCTCCTACTGGTGGACACGATCGAGCCGCGCATCCGCCATGATCCGCGCGTGCGCACCCTCGCCCTGGACCTAACGGCACCTGGTGCTGCCGATCAGATAGTCACCTCTAATCGCCAGATTTTATTCCACCTCGCAGCAGTCGTCAGCGGCCACGCCGAAGCGGACTTTGATTTGGGTCTCGCAGTCAATTTTGACGTCACCCGAGCTTTGCTTGAGGCAGCTAGGAAACGAGCCAATAATATGCGCTTTGTGTTCGTAAGCACGGTGGGTGTTTTCGGTGGTGACCTTCCACCTGTCGTTTTAGATTACACCGCTGTGACCCCGCAAACTTCGTATGGCGTCGGAAAAGCGATGAGCGAGTTGTTGGTTAATGAATATGCCCGTCGAGGGTTTGTTGATGGGTTAGCGGTGCGGTTGCCGACTGTATCGGTCCGTGGTGGCGCTGCTAACCGCGCGGTTACCTCGTTTGCTAGTGGAATAATCCGTGAGCCGATTCGAGGCGAATGTGCGGTGTGTCCGGTGGATGAAGATCAGCGCTTATGGCTTTGTAGCCCGAAAACGGTCGTGAAAAACATACTACACGCGGGAACATTATCGAGCGCGCAGCTGGACCCTTGGCGAGTTATCAACTTGCCCGGCCTGACCGCTACCGTTGGGGAAATGGTGCGTGCGCTCCGAGAGGTGGCCGGCGAGGAAGTCGCCTCTCGCGTACAGTTCGTCAAGGACGAGATGATCGCGCGCATGGTGGCCAGTTTCCCACCTGAATTTGAAACGACTCGAGCGAATCGCCTCGGTTTTATCGCAGATCGTAATTTTGCCGAAGTCATTCGCATATTCATTGAAGAAGAAGCCAAAAAGAAGTGTTAATAAAACGTAATAATTTCATATTTGTGCAAAGTGAATTTCTGTTTAATGAAAATATATTTTTACGTTATTAAAAAATGGAGATGTGTCAAATTATTTTTCTAATTCAATGAATAGTCCGATTTTAAAGAACCATTTGCTTTTTTGGCTGTCCCAGTTGTAATCTTACTAATATTATTATATAAATGCGAGTGTTTGGACGGATGGATGTATGAATGTATGGTTGTTTGTTAAAAGCTGCATGGATCTCGCAGAAATTTGGCATAGTTGTAGAACATAGTCTGGAAGACCATATAGGCTACTAATTTGTTTTTTTACTCCGCACTGACGGAATCGCGGTCGACGCCTAGTAGTACTAGTACATAAAAAATAGTAATAAAATATAATTATGCTATATTCATTATTTATGATTGTACATAAACTTATGTATTTACTTAAAAATTAAATAGTTGTTGTTCAATTGCCTTTTCTGAATCCCAAGCTTCAGCTGAATCAGGGTCGTGTTTCAACCGTTTTGATGACTTTGGTGATGTGTCATCATTGTGAGAATGTTTACGTTTTCTTTTTTTATGAACAACAACGGGCTCTTGTTCTGGTTTCATTTGTTGTTCATTATCTGAAATATTTTCCTCTTTTTTATGCTTCTTCTTTTTCTTTTTTCTCTTTTCATTATCTTGTGGTATTGATTCATTTTCTAAACCATTGAGACGGTTTGATATGTGTTTCGGTATTTTTATTGCACTTCTATAATCAACACCAAACAACGGATGACGTGACTTTGTGTCGGGTAGAGGTATAAAATTTGTTTGACAGTTGACTATATTGTTATCTTCAACGTAATGAGCCTTCGGAATTCTTTTGGAAAACCGTATCATACCAGAAAGTGGTACATTTTTAATAACCGGTTTATTCTTATCTAATGTCAAGAGGGCGACTTGAGCAGTATAGTTTTCGTTTAAACCAACATATGTTTGACTGTTTGCCTTTAGCTTACTTTTAGTGTCCAAGACTAAACTTGTGTCTTTTAAACTATTGATGTCAACTTCACTGGGACATTTCAGCACCCAAACTTCATCCTCGTCCGTAATAACAGCACCAATATTTTTATTCACAGCGATTTGATTAAGATGAGCATTTCTTTTTAAATATTTCTTTAGTGCTGCTGAATGTTTCACATCTTGTACTTCTATTTCGTCATGACTTGAATCGAAAGTATCATCTTCAAATCTTATTCTATCAGTAATTTTTCTCAATGGTTTTGTAGGGGTGATGCAACCATTAGCACTAATAATTTCATCAGTAGGGGCAACTTTATCAAATACACTATTTCTTTCCTTTTTGCTTTTACTTTTATTATCTTGACTTGATTCTATTTGATTTGTATTATCTACATTTTTGGATATATATTTTTTTGTGCCTTCGTTTTCATCCATACTTTCATCAGTATACTTTTCTCTTTGTACTTTTTCTTCTATGATATTTTCTAATTCATGAACATTGGATATTCTTTCTTCTACTAAAGTTTCTTCTGCACTAAACTTGTCTTCAATGATTGTGTCATCAATAGCTTCTTTCTCTTTTTTCTTTTTTGATTTCTTTTTCTTTTTAACCTTCTCATTATCTTCTGGTTCTTCTTTGAGATCAGAATAATCATTTTCTTGGCTAAGTTCTAATACATCAGTATCATTTTCACATTGTGAATTATCAATCTCTTGTGATTGAGATTCATTGAAGCTTGAATAATCTCCGCTTTCCGAATTTGTTCTGCGTTTCTTCTTCTTTTTAGACTTTGGAGATTTCCATTCTGTGGACATATGTTCCTCTTTTACTTTTAAATTTAAAAATTCTTCATCACGTAGAACACTTTCAGAAATAGATGTTTTAGATTTCTTTTTTTTCGGTTTTATATCTAAATCACTTTCTGGTTCGATTTTTATTTCTTTTGTTTCAGGTTCCTCTGCATTGTTGCTGTCTAATTCACTATGCTTCCGTTTCTTTGATTTTTTTCGTTCATTGTCATATTTGCTAGAAATTTCTTGACTGTTATTGAACAATTTCTTTTGAAGTTTTTGCTTATAGCTGTATCCTGATTCTGAACCACCATCATCGCCGTTTTCTTTCATAATTCTAAAAAAGTAACTATGTATTAGTAAAAGTAACTATTTGACTTTAATTTGACTGCTCACGACAATAACTTAAATATACCTGTCTAAAATTACCTACAATTAAGATATAAAAACTGTGTCTGTGTGTAAATAGTAACCTCACTATTATACTATGGCTTAAAAAAAAGGTAACTTACGTTGAGTCCTCAGAAGTGTCCGTCCAAGCAAAGTCGTCAGATGATTCCATTAAAACTTTAAGTGATTAAATTCATGTACACATAACGTAAAATTGTTAATTATAAGTATCAGTTAAAATTTATAACCTTACAATTACAATTTTCATAGCATGTGACATGTGTTGTGTTATGACAACTGACAATGACTTGTGTCATATGTCATTTGTTGAGTTTATTCCGTTTTTCAATATTTGTTTCACAATTTGCTTAACATTTCTTTCATTCCTTACCATTAAAATTAGACATTAACCCATCGCTTGTATTTTTATATTTTTGCTTTATAAAAAACTATGGATATTTAAGTTAAAGCCAATAAATTAAATCCAAATAATAAAACCACAAAAATAAGTTTCTTAATCTGAACGCATTATTAGTAGTTGACATATAGTTCGTTTGACAGATCTTATGTCTTTCTTGTGAATATTGTAGTCCAACATGGTGAGTTTTATGTCTATTTTGAGAAATATCGAGTTAAATCAGAAGAAGTGTTTATTAAAATTAATTTCTTAACATGTGAAATAAATCTCGGTTAAATTTAGAACGTGTAGAGTACTATATTTTCAGTGGCTTATGTGAAAGTTTTATGTAGTTTGAAAATAAACCGAAGTTGTTTAAAGTTATTGTAGTCCTATCTGTTTCAAATTTTAACACTTAAGCAATGGTTATTATTAATTCAAATACACGTTAACAGTTTCTACAGTTCGATAAGCATTTACAGTTTTTTTTAAGGTTATGTTGTTAGTAAAACATAACTTTCAATAATATTTTGTTATCGTGTTCAGGCTCGTGGTCCGAAGAAGCACTTAAAGCGTCTTAACGCGCCTAAGGCATGGATGTTGGACAAATTGGGTGGCGTGTACGCGCCCCGACCATCCACTGGTCCCCACAAGTTGCGTGAATGTTTGCCGCTGGTGATCTTTCTGCGCAACAGGCTGAAGTACGCCCTCACCGGTAATGAGGTGCTAAAGATCGTAAAGCAGCGCTTGATCAAAGTTGACGGCAAAGTGAGGACAGACCCTACTTACCCTGCTGGATTTATGGGTGAGTAAAGAAGTTTAATATAAAACGCTCAATACCACTTTCTTTTATAAATTAGGATTCGTTTTACATTCCTACTACATGAATGCAATGGTATTGCAGTGTTTGGAAGTTATTTGGAAAATAAATCAGTAACTTAATAATCTTTAAAACTTAGTTAATTTTATATACCATATACATTTATAAGAAATAAGTTTAATGGTGATTTATATAATTTCAGATGTTGTATCCATTGAGAAGACCAATGAATTGTTCAGGCTAATCTATGATGTCAAGGGCCGTTTCACAATTCACCGCATTACCCCAGAGGAAGCTAAGGTTTGTTAAAAATTTTTATTTATAAAATGCCACAAAAAGTTTAAAGTTATTAGTGAACATAGTACCTTTTTTTTCTTTTATATTACTATATCAAATATAGTGGACATGCAGTAATCCCGCCCTGTCTAATTTGGTGCCCGTTGCAATCAGACAGAATTATGATTTTTATGCATAGTATTTATTGAAAACAATGTTTTAAACATTTTACATTTTGTAGGCATTTATTGTGCACACATTTATTTCATTATGTTGTAATTTTTTGTACATTTCTGATTATTAAAGGTTTTAATTTTTCTTTTTACTTTACGGGTATAATATATAGAACCTATATACCATGTAATTTGTCCGACTACAAGGTATTTAGGTAAAATAATCTGGATTATCAAGGGGTTATAGACAGAACTCTATAGAATTTGATAGTTTGTTGCAGTAAAACATATCTGATTACTCTGGATCTACTGTAATTGCACCTACAAAATTTTATAGAAAGATGGTTGCCAAGGCTATTGTAGTTTAGTAGTTGCCAATATGTTACTTATTGTGAGGAATAACTAGTCTTTACTTTTTATTCCAGTACAAGCTGTGCAAGGTACGTGCAGTGGGTACCGGCCCCAAGAGTGTGCCATACCTGGTGACACACGACGGCCGCACTGTACGCTACCCCGACCCCCTCATCAAGGTCAATGACTCCATCCAGCTGGATATCGCCACCTCCAAGATCATGGACTTCATTAAGTTTGAGTCTGGTGAGTATTATACAGTAACATTTTTTTTTTGAATAGTTTTTTTATATTTTGTAAAGTTATCGGAGCCGCATTGACTTCATGTTTGATTTAGCAGTCATCATTATGAGTTCCTGCTGTTATATTTATCATGCTTGTTATATAAAGATTTTAATGTAGTAATAATAAAAATTGTATTTGCTCATGTTAGGCAACCTGTGCATGATCACGGGAGGTCGTAACTTGGGGCGAGTGGGCACGATCGTGTCCCGAGAAAGGCATCCAGGTTCCTTCGACATTGTGCACATCCGAGACTCCACCGGACACACATTCGCCACTAGGTAATTCCATATACAGTTTTATACTATTTTTTTCATACTTATTTTGTATGAACAATTGCATGATTGTTTTATTGTCAGTCTAGGTAGCTTGTTATTTAGACTTTAGCTGTAAATTTTTTTTATTTCTAATATTCTGGTAGTAACTTAACTTATTATAGCACACATGTATGATTGGTGAAGACTTTTTTGCTACGTTCTGACTAATTTCCACTAGCAGTGTCAACAAATAAATCTTACTAATATTATAAATGCCAATATTTTGATGGAAGTTTGTTACTTTCTCCAGAATAGCTCAACAATCTTGATGAAATTGGTCATAGATATAAAACATAGTTTTGAAGAACTCATACTCTTATTAAGTTTTTTTTTTAATTCCGTGCATACAAGGTGTTGGATAAATATGATTTTTTGATGTGTGTGTACAGGATGAACAACGTGTTCATCATCGGCAAGGGCACGAAGGCGTACATCTCGCTGCCGCGCGGCAAGGGCGTGCGTCTCACCATCGCCGAGGAGCGCGACAAGCGCATCGCAGCGAAGGTCGCCGCGCAGTGACCACTACAACATTAAACTATAAGACTATACACAACTATTGTTTTATTATTACTACTTCTCTAACTACCCTCTTTATAAACCAAACGTCAAAGTACCCAGCAAAAGATCGTCAGACAATACCCGGCAATACATGCTTCCGATGTCAATTTAATGACTCGAGATTTAAAACAGAATTAAGTATGTAGAAGCGATAGCTTAACCGTGTATTAGTCGTCTCGTTAGTGGAATAGTGCATGGAGGTTTTAACTAAACACAGTCGAATCTGGATATACTAGTCCTCGGAACCGCAATTAGAGATCCCATATAGAGATTTCTCTAACCCGAGTTACTTACAGAGGTTGTATTTTGGAACTAATGATTCGTTTATATAGGTTTCTCGCTTATCCAGGTTTGACTACATACACTACGTGGTTTGTTGTATGGCTGCAATTCATTGTTTCTATATTGAATTTGGAAGCCAAAAAAGGTTTGAAGAAAACACTCGATATCAACAAGATAAAGCTATTTATTTACACAACAACAAAGTTTTTTTACACACAAAATGTGAACTGTATCTGACAAAATTGTCCGTATTTGTTAAAAAAAATCTAAATTATAACTATAACCTACCTATTGATCGAACAAATGAATATTTTACAGCGATCACCTATATCTCGTTGTCACCTTTAGCATCAGTCTCTTAGTCCCGATCATTTTCCTTGACTCCATTGTCGACATTTTAGGCGACATGCAATGTACATTATCTTTAGAGGAAATTGCAGCTCGATGAATCAAGACGAGTGGTCAGGCGAGGCTGTATTTGTGTGAGGTGAATGCGAGTGTCGCGCTCGCATGTGTCGCTCCAGGTCTCTGCGGCGGGCGAGAGGCTTGCCGCAGCGCGGGCACGCGTGAGGCGCGGAGTCTTGCGACGTGTGCGGAGTCCTAGCGGCGTGCAGGCGTACGTGCTTGTTGAGGTTGGACGGATCACCGAAGGCGCGCAAGCAATGTCGACAGCGGAGCGGCTTGTAGCCTGTGTGCGTTCGGATGTGAATTTTGAGGCCGTATTTACGCGAGTAGAGCTTGCCGCAGTATAGGCAGGTGTGGCCGCCCCGCGATTTGCCCCACGCGGCTGCCAGAGCCTCCACTGCGGCGCTCGCGGCGTCATTCGCTGGGAGAGGCAGAAGCGGCCAGTGTGGTATCGGGCTGACGGAATGCTGTACCGACGAAATGTTATATGGTCGGAAGGCCGAGCTCCGTTGGGCTGTACCACGTTCTAGAATTTCGAGGCAGGTATGCCAGAAGGCTCCCAGTGAATACTCCCCACATTTCATGAACAGGTGAACCTTCAACGGATTTGGCTGCTCAAATTCCACGCCGCAGTCGTGGCACACGTAATTTTTCTTTCCTGGAAGATTATACGGGTTTATTAGTCTTCAATGTTAAAAGTTACGATTGTAAAAAGAAAGATTTTAACTAAACAGAATATTTCAAAAGAGTTAAAATTAAATTGCATATACCTTGAATGTTCTTCAACGATAGGAAAGGCATATTTAGAAGAGCGAGAGTTGTGTCGTCGAACCAAATCTGCAGCTCTTGTAGGGGCGCGGCCTCCGCTTGTAGGCGCAGTTGGAGGCAGCCAGCTTCTGTCGTTTCCGGAGCAGATGCCAGTTGCTGAGGTACAGAGTGCGTGTTGGCACAGAGCAGCAGTGACGCCGCGGGGGAGGCCGGAGCAAGGCTTGCGCACACCGCCGCTCCCGCCGGCCCACCTCGCGCGCAGAGACGACCGCTCACGTCTAAATCCACGTACACCTGTATAAGGCATAAGAATGTTTTTACACAGGTCACACGGATATCACTACGGCTACATTACATGAGACATGAGCTCGCTTGTTTAACTACAATATTTAAGAGTAATTAAGGATACCTTGGGACCTGCCAAGTTTCTGGACTGAACGGTTACAAACTTAGATATTAAGACCTTATTAGAGAAAATTTTACGTACGATAGAGTAGTAGAAATACGAGTATAACTTACATTGTGTGGTGTGAGCAGCGCATGTTGGAGCGCTGATCTCAGCTCCCTCGTACCGAAGGCAGCAGAACACGCGCCAGAAGACAGGCCACGGCGAGCCAGCGTTCTCATGCTGATTGTCTACCACTATGTCTCGTCGTGGAAAATATTAACCTTTCGTCTGGTGTACCTAAACCGAGTAGCAGTAGCGACCTTCTTTTGATGAAATTTATATATTCCAGTGGCAAGTGCAGTGCTGCAGGTGGAATGCAAGTGGCGCGTGCGCCGCGTGTGCCTCGTATTTACGTGCCGGAGGGTTGCAACCCTCAGGGCGGCACTCCGCCCTCCGACGCCCCCAACACTCCGACACATATTGTCTACGACCCCGCAATCAAAATATCCGTGAAAAAAATATATCACCCTCTAATAACATCATCTATATTATTTATCCAAGTGTTAAAATCCTTCATTTATAAACCTATTAACATTTTGTACCGAATTTTTATAAGTATTATACATACACCGGTGGGTTATTGCTGGGTGGGTGGTTGCTTCAAATTTGCAAGCAGATTTCTTGCTTTCAATTTTCTATTGTTTTTAAATATTTTTCTCGTCTTTCAAATAAACTGTTACCTTTTTTTTCAAAGACACAAAATTCTACAACAAGCGGGAAAATAAATGAGTTCCTACAAAAGTTACGAGTAGTTCGATTAGAAATGGTTTTATAACAATTACTTATTATCGATAGGTGAATGGAAAATTATGAAATTAATATTATAAACATATTTATTAAACGTTTGCAATTTACACTAATTTCCATAACAAAACAACTATCACTATTTTAAAAGGCTTTATGTACATATTTGTAGTCTAAAAAACAATTAACAATACATAGAATTTATCATGAAATCTTAATTTAAATAACTTGCTCTTGAAATCGTTATGATTCCACATAGAAATATCTTTGTCTAGAAGCGATTTTAAAACAAAATTAGGTTTATATAAATCTTTTTCCATATCGTCTGACAGATATTGCGCTAAGCGCCGCAAATTTCATTATCGTAGTACCTTTATAACTCTACCAAGTTGTAATTAAATATTTCTAAATATTACATTTTACATCTATGATATTTCTAATCAAAATTCACAACATTTTGCTTGTAAAATAATATTAAATTTTCGTCTTAATTCACTTCATACATATGCCTTTTTTCATTTATTTAAAAACTTCAGTTTAAACACGATAAAATAACAAACAATTGCTTTTTTTTTTAACCAAAACGATGACTATAAAATTACTAGTATATTTACACATTATAATTTGATAATTTTACTACAACGTAAATCCCGCTAGAATCTTCTGTAAGCGTAGTTTGTGACGCTAAAAGGGCGCTAACGTTATTCCTCTTCCATTCCTGTAAACACAAATTTATATTAAACCTCAGGTATAAAAATAGACTTAAAAAGAATATGACCCAGTTGAAAATAATATAGTAAATAGGGTCATTATTACAGAATTACAATTTTACTGTTATATCTTACTAATATTATAAATGCGAATTTTTAAATGGATTGTTTGAAGACATCTGCAGAACGGCTGCATGGATGTCGCTGAAATTTGGCATAGATGTAGAACGTAGTCCGGAAGAACACATAGTCTACTAATTAAGATTTTTTTTATTTCCTCACGGACACAGTTTCGGGGGACAACTAGTAATATTATAATTAATATATGTTTTTATTTTAATTCAATGTTAAACTAACAGAAATGATGTTCTATAAAATGTCAGGTGTGATGTTGAGTTCAAGGGTCGCATTTACACGACAATTGAGCAACGATAACTGTCGTATTAGTGTCGCGTCGCATCGAGCACATGTCACGTACACTCAATTGCAAAATATTGAATACACGTTAAAAAATTTCCGGACATTTGTAACAATCGTGTAAAACTATGGTTGATATTTTTAAAAATAAATATGTAAATAAATAAATAAATAAATAAAAAACGCATCTAGACAACCTTGTAAAGTGTAAAAATACTGTCAAGTAAAAAAGACAATTTGTTTAGTTTGTTCCAATGATAAAAACCAGAACCTACACCTGTTTTATAATAGCCTAGTCTATTTATATTGTCCACAATTTATAGGTATATTTTAATAAAAACAATTTAATTGAAGAGCAATATGGTGACCGTGTGCATGTGTTTGTACAAGCGATGTAGAGATTTGGCGGCTGAATTAATCTGTTATTAGATAAAAAGCTGCAACATTGAGCCGGTGCACAGCTCGCCCTCTCGTGTTTTGATTTTGCATTATTTTAATTGTTTACACCAGGGCCGCTCTAAGCCACGGCCCGCAGCAGTTGTGGTGACCCACTAGTTATGGCGGCCCGGTATATTAAATTTAAAATGAATCAATTTTTTCGTGTTAACTTGATTTTTGTAAATGGTATAGGGTTTATTTTGATTTTATTTATTTAGTAAAAAATGAATAATGAATGTTTGGAGTATCACAATCAATAGGTAAGGATTGTAGAAAGGCTTAAAATATTATAACATTTAATTTTTAATGTTTACTTTTTTTATGCAAGTTTCTTATTTTCCTAAACTAAACTTTATCGTTTTAATGGTTCAATTAACGCAATTCCAGGACTGGGGCGTATTTTGCATGTGATCCGGATTTATTCCAGCCAGGCCAACTCTCCGAAACTTAAACAAATGGCCTATAGTATTAAACTTTACACCGACTATAGGCACCTATTAGGATAAAGAACAAGTCCGGTTTGTTCGCGTTGCTCATTTTAATTGAGTAATCAAAATTGTAACATTTAAGCTCTTTACATCATTATAGCATTGTTCGGAGGCGACGCGACTACATGCAGCTGCACAAACAGGCAATAACACAAATTAATCAACACCTTTTTCCGTTGGATCAAGGTTCATTTTCCAACAATGCTATTTAGAACTCTCGAAGTCAGGAACAGATATGCTTACAGAACAAAATTAATCTAATGCCGTTACATTAAGGTTTGTTTTTCAATAACGGATTATGGAACTCTTAAAGTCCATTTAGATGTGCATTAGCGAATAGGTTGGGGCAAATGTGACATGTGTAGTGTCTTGCCAGTTCGCTCGCTTCACGAGTTTGTTTAACACTCAGACCCCACTGATACAGAGTCCCCGTGACTTTTGCTAATTTCATTCACTATTATCTCATGTCTGCAAGAACAATAACAAAATTAGAACACCATTTGTTTCATTAAATAACATTATCTTTAGTCAAATTGTAAATAATGCATCCAGTTTGAATTCTCTTTCAATTGAGAGGAAGGTCTGAAATTTGGCCAGAGAGAAGTATTTTGACTTCAAAGTAAGACAATTCATTTGGGTCAAAAACGTGCAATTTAAGCGTCAATAGCCTAATGGTTAAGGGTGCGGATTCCCGATCACGAGGTCGGCGGTTCGAATCCCGCCATTCGACTATTGTCGTAAACCATGTCCTAGCACAAGCCTAGAGCTTAGTTGGAATGGTAAAAAGAAATATTAGTGAATTTACAAAAAATCTGCTAATATTAAAAAAAAAATTATAGCTTCGAAAAATAAAATACCACTGTCTGGCCAAATGACATCTTTAACAGTGGTAGAGGCCGCTTTAACAACTTCGCACGAATTGGCCCGGCTCGCCCGGTGAAATACCACGACCACACAGAAGACAGGCGTCAGTGGAAGCAATTCCGCGTTTCGTCTGATGAGTGTGCGTCCCGGAGGCCTAATTTAGTCCTTTTTCCCATCCCACCCTTTTTCTTATAAGGAAAGGATGGGAAGTGGAAGTGGACTTTCCGGATGAGAGGATGCATGGAAAGGGAAAATATTTTCTTTATGTCCATCCTCTGCACCGTTGATTAAAGGTAGGCAACGCATATGCAATTGTGTATGTCTATGGGCAACGGTCACTTCGCTATTTCAGCGATTTCAGGTGGTCTCTCGCTCGTTGGCCACCTTATGATATAAAAAAAACTTACAATTGTAAAGTGTCATTTGAGTCGTATGTCAAAATCAATTAAAAATCGTTTTTTTTAATTACTTTTTTTTCTTAATACACATGTTGATAGTTCTCAATATTAACAGTATATGAATCTCTATTTTTATTAAATCCTGTAACAATTACCCGAGTCAAGTGTACGGGGAGCGTGTTGTGAGCACGTGCGTCTTATCTTAATTCCCATCTCATCAGATAGCCGTTGCCAAACCGAAAGCAATACAAACTCGACGGGAGATAGAGTGCCTCATGTTTGCATTCAACAATTTTACATTAAATAAATGAATTAAATACTATTGCCAAACACAAATCTATATGGATCCGATTACACAACTCCAGGTGGTAAGGGGCGAGAGGTTTTTTAAATAATTATAAACGATAAGACTCAATTCACCACATGGTAAGCTTTGCTATTGAATTTTCATGTTACGTCCTCTTCAGGTCATATTGTAAGTTAAACTAGTATAAATTAGAATAAGGATAAACATATTATCACGCCAATTAATTCTAGACTTCTTAAAACAGGTCTTGTGTTTTTAGTTAATACTTTAACAAATCTCATACAATAGAACATCGATAAATAGTTTTATAAAGAATATTTCTACTATAGGTTAGTTCATTTTATACATATGACATTTATTTTTTTCGGCATTTTTAAATCTCCGTTTATAAATTTATAAATAGTAAGTGCACTCAACGCCCCGCATCAAATATAATGTAACAAAAATTTATTTTTAATAGCATTATTATGCGTATTGTAGTTGACAAGTGGTTGTATTAGCGATGGCGTTAGTGTCGCGAGAGATTAGCGCGCGCGCACGTGCGCCGCGACGCCGCTGTGACGTCACACCGCGTTAGCTAATCGCCCGTGACCGCAGCACCGGCCGCAAAACGCGCCCTTTTTCAATGCATTGTCACACGATTAACACTTTTATTACATGTCTTCTTCAATCCAAATTAGGCAAATCTTAGAAATGGAAAATGAACCATATTCAAACGTGATAAAGACTACATTCCTTTGAATAAAACTTGTACTCTCGAATAATTGATGTAATTTCAACTTTATTCGTTTTGCTGTAAGATTCATGTTAAACGTAACATGAAAAAATATTAGAGTTCAAATTGTATTGTCTTTACAAATCGGGCAATGCGATATTATTGCAAGTATTGTAAGGTCCGCTCAGAGTTGAATAGTAGTCTAATGAGGATGGTATGGCATGGCGAATGCGCACGTGACGCGGGAGCCACCGGTGTGGTCTTGCACCGGCTGTCACGGGCAAGTGCGATCAAGACTATATCAAGTACTTTGACGTTTGTTAAGGTGGACCTATACTGTATCGTTCAAATTGTAATCTTGTAATGTGAGGTGTGAGCTCACCTTCTAGCATCATGCTGGGCGTGGAGGGCGGCGTTGGAGAGTCGGGCACGTGCAGCGGCGTCGGCGCTTGCGCGCGCGTCTCCACCACCTCGCGCACGATCTCTGTTGTTATAAATTATTATAAAATTAATTGCAAATATATAAATTTATTATCTTTCATTAGATTGTCTGCTTACATTTTTCCTCTATTTGAATTTTTATAGGCCTCTAAATCTGGAATCTAATTTCAAAACAATATAATTTCCAATTCATACCTGTGATGACATCGCGGCTTGTGATAATGGATTCAATCTCCAGAGACACCTCTTGTATTAGCCACGGCATTACCTCTTCGTTTATGCCTGTTAATCAAATCGCATAGGTATAGAAAAACAGCAGAAAAATCTTCAAAATATAAGACTCTTTCGAGGATCAGGGATAGTCTTCCTATAGAATTCCCTGAAAAACCGTATTTGCCGTTTCTTCGTTAAGAGACTTATGTAGGAATTTAAATTAAGGACAAAAATAGATAGATACCAGTCTGTATTCTCTCGATGAGATAACCGTGACAGCGGAGGCCAGCAAGCACGCTGGGTAGCAGCTCAGCCACGTAGCCTTGCACCAGCGCCGCCGCAGCAGCACGCGCGCGCGCCTCACCCGCCGCCACCTGCGCCAGTCGAGCTTCGCCGACGCGACGCTCCTACGCACATACAAACAAATTGCTATTTTATCGCCATAACTTTAACTGTCTTCTCTATCGATAATCTGTGCAAATATATATAATATAATAATCTATCAAGCGCCACTTTTGTTAGTAAAAAAATAGAAGCTTAAAGTTTTCAGGTTTTGTTTCTCTTTGCCATTGTAACTCTGTGTACCGGTACCTTTTCAGCCTGTAGACGTATGTCCTGCGCGAGCAGTCGTTGGCGCTCAGCGCGCTCGGCGTCTCGCAGCTCGAGGTAGCGACGCTGCTGCTCTCGTAGTGTGGCCAGCTCCTCCTCCTGAGCAACCTCCGCCAACGCCTGCTCCGCTGTCTTGCCCACCAGCGTCTCCAGGATAGGTTGCACTTCCAAGTCGAAGTCGAACAACTGCCCAGAAAAGAATATCACAAATTACATCTACAACAGATATGAAGTCAATATGTAACCACGGGTCAGATAAATACTAAATTACTATTAATATATTCATAAATTAATATTCTGCTTTAGTAACCCAAAAATTGTAAATGTGCCAATTAGTTGTGACTGGTACTAACATCTCCAGGATAAATCTGCGTATGGGCGTCAGCGCCGGTCTTCGCTGGCACATAGATGGGCGTTGCGGGCCGGTCTGCGAACAGGTCCGTCTGCACGCCCACCTCCAGCTCCACGCCTTTATCGAATAGCTGCACAAGTACATAAAGCATTAGTAACTGCTGTTCCTTATTTCTTTGTCTTTACCACATCGAAAGTTTGGTTATGCATGAAAATGCTAAAGGGCATTGTTTTGAATGTTGATTCGCGGTAACTGCTTCAAACCAAGCAAGCAGATATAGCAGTTATAGGATTAATGTGTGAACAATAAATACATCAAACAAGATATGAAGTATTCAGTTTCACCTCCTGCAGGTAGTGGTCAGTCTGCACCGGCAGGTGTCGCCGGCCGGGTGCGGGCGGCGGTGTACCAGGCCGTAGTCTCGCCAGCGCTGCTCGGCGGGCCAACGCGCGTCGCCGTGACTTGCTCGCACCATCGCCCTGAGCACACAAAGTACTGTTGAGTCACAAAGTACCCTTGGGTGTTGAGAGATCTTGAGATTATTCGATGTAGATCCAAACAGACTACGCCTTTCACAGCTCAGCGGTGATTTTTTCCTATTCCGTACAAAAATATAGTGCAATTATAATACTATCATAATAGCTTGGAATAAGGTTAAATCATAAATAATGAATACAGTGCAAATTTTCATTACTGGAAGTAACGAATTTCTTCATGGTAATTGCGCAAAATTTAATTAAAATAATTACAAAGGTAACCTTCTGATTTATTATATAATTAAAAAAAACTAATTAATGTTGACCTAATCAAGATATTAACAGAAAGTCTGCAATAAAATTAATAGCTAAGACTTTCATGGGTCACTTTCAAAATGTACTTCTCACAAGTTAAGGTTCGGGCCACGAAATCAGTGGTTTTGGTCACGTCACCCGGGGGGCTCGCGTGACGAAACTTAACACGCACGCTTGTGTGCGACACTGAGAGTTGTTGCGTTAATAAAGATTAAAGATTTATAAAACTAATTTTATTTGTTAAAAACGTTTACTATTTAGAAAATCGAACCCATCACAGAAGCTATTGACTTATTTAAATACGATACAAAAAATTAATATTTTAATTCCATAACATTAAGAATATATAATTACATTTTTGTAACTAATGAAAGTACAAGAAAATTGTAAAACTAATTACGCCTGGAATTGCTCACTTACTATACCATTTATATATAAAAAGCTGCAAGTAAACAAATTTCTTTTCGTTTTCCTTGCCTTCAAATGTACCTACAAATTGCATGTCGCTGCACACACTCGATCTAATCAATCAAATGTAACCTTTAAAGTGATCGACGTTGAGTTCAAATTGTATCATGACAAGGGCACGTGCAGTGAATTATCCAGTCCGTGCCGGCTATAGTCCGGCCATGATGATAATTTCGATGAATTTTTGATTCATCGTTTACTGGCTTGTTGTAACTGTAATATGATAAGTGACTCAGTAATTTTCATTTTTAGTTTGAAAAATTTAATAATTTTGAATAGCTAGAATTGGGTAAATGGAATTTTATTTAGGACGCGGCATGTAGGTATCATGGTGAGAGTTGGTAGCAGTTTCTTTACAAAAAAGACAACACAGATAAAAAGATTACGTAAAACAGGTTGACTATAATATATGAATAGAGATATTGTATTTAATTAAGGATTAATTGAAACAGAATTTGCCACTACGTTTAGACAATATCAGTTTCGAAAAACTTCTTTTGTAGGCTTCGGTGCAAGTGTTCAAAAATCTAAAACACTAAACACTGCAACTAAACAAGTGTTAAGCTCAATTAACCATGTGAACGAGTCGCTATCGCGCATGGTTGTTTGACTACCAAGTCACGGCTTTTGTAATGTATTATAGTTGTTTACACTGACTTTCATTAACATTTTTTCATGGCTTAGGGAATTTACTTACAAATGAGAATAGTAATTAACGTCACGAGTATAAAATACGAGTATCTTAAAGTGGTATAATTAGAAATAGCTTTATCTATTGCCGTCCTTTTTTTCTACCATTCATTCCATTTGTTGACATTTTGATAACGTTCCAAGGTCGCGACTACAGCGCCACTATTCTATTTGTGACTTACCGCAGCGTGCGCGTGCGCAGTCTGTGGCGCGAATGTGCTGCCGCGCACCACGCGCCGGTCGTGCATCAGATTTCGTGGCCCCACCTCTTCACTGTAACAAAAAATATACATAAATAATTCTATTACATTAATATAACTGAAGGTTTTCAGTTTTATATAATGACATATAACATCGCTTACTGGAGTTCTATTGTTAAGATTTAATGTAATTTTGAAGTATGAAGTTTTTTTGTTTCGATAAGTAGGTCCTTATTATGACTAAAGCGTCGCGGATCATTATGGATTAAATTATTATATAATAACGAAATAAATATATGTTCAGATATATAAAGCTTTTAAAACAAATAAAATCGTGACTCCTTTAATCAGAGACAATAGATTTATAATTGATAAGATTAGATAAGAGGTATAAATGTCCGGGGGTAGTTGACCGGCGGCGTCGCGGCGCGCGGTATGTGAGGGGGTGGCCGCGGGGGGAGGCAGGGGCTAGTGGGGCATGCAGCCGCGGTCATTACACACGGCTTGACCCCGATACAAACCCTCCTCAAACTTTCATTCACATCTAAATATATTGTGCTGTAAATTTCAGGTTTTATGACTATCGAATTATAGAAAATGATTGTTAAACACTTCTAGTTTAATATATCTAAAAGACATCTCCGTAAAAAGAATTTCTACATACTCCTGCACATTACCGCGATTGAAATTTACCAAACAAGTAACATTGCTTTGATGGATTTGCTTTTAAAAAATACGTAAAGTTTTTCTAACCAGCTATATAGGGTAATGCCACCTGCAAAGAATTATTTTAGGAAAATAACCTTTCGAAAACGATTGTGTTTATTTTATCGAGTCATTCTTAGGTGAGGTTATTGCTTTTATATACGATTGTAAAAGTGGTATTTCATTAAAAAAAATAGGAAAACATACACTTTGTCTTGCTTTTCAACCATATGCCTCATTCCGGCGACGCTGGCGATTAACGCACGGACCCCACGGAACGCCTCTCCGGGGTTCATTCCCTTTTTGCTAGCGTCAACGTTTGGACCTCCGTTAGGTATCCTGTTCTCTTTAGTTTCCACGTTTCGCTTTGGACGTGTAGTCACAGCTTTCGGTTTACTGGCATATGAATAAACAACCTTCTCTCTTTCTTGAGAAGGGTAGAGAGTGTGCAATCCCAGAAGGTAAGCAACTTCCGGCGGGGGTAGGAGAAACTGCCCAGTTTTAACAGTCGTAACGAAACGCGGCTTGTCTTGCTCATTTTGTTTGTTTCGCTTCCTTTGATCCGGCGATGGACTGTCTTCCATTCTCGGTGATATTTTCACTCTTTCCATTGAAGGGATACAGTTGATATGTGGGTGAGAGCGATTCTTTGCCTTCTCCCGCTCAGCTCGGTCTTGACTGAGGTGGAGGTTGCATTCCGAGGCGGCCAACGCCCCCATACCGTATCGAGGTCTGACCGGCCTACGTAAATTCGCTTCCAATAGTTCTTTCTCTTTTAACCGACGCAATTTAAAGTCGAGCGCGCGAGAAAACTTCGGATTGAGAACGGTGCGTGAGTCCACCGGTGGCCGGGCGAGCGGTCGGACTACGTTAACATTACTGGGGTTACGTTTATCTGCGTGGTCTGAATGCGTGGTCTCGTTGTCGACGACTGGTAAGTCGTTGTCGGAAGGCACGAGTGAGGCAGACATCGCGTGTTACGTGTGGTGAGGACGGCAGTCCGCGGCGGCGGCCGGAGGGCACTGCCGGCGGGGTTGGGCGCCGGACGACGGTCACTTGCGCTCACCAACAAAACGTCGTCACCGTCCGCCGTCAGGTGGCGCTTGCTGCCTTGTAGAGTTGACTCCAATTGCTGCGGCGCGTGTCGCGCAGGCGCTACGACTGACCGAGGGCAGTTGAGAGACGCAAGACTTGTTTCTTGTTTAATTATCATATCGCAATGTACAGCTAATACAACAACAGATTTATATTTTTAGACAGCTTTAATTATGAATGGAACTTAATAAAAAGTCATGTAATATTTATAGGAAATAACACAACATTTACCGTATAAAGTGAATAACTACGTAAATAAGCACTAACGCTGTTAAGGTAGATTAGGCAGCAAGTAAAATTTTCGAGTAACCGTCACTTTACCCTTAAACTAAATTTAATTCCCTTAACTTAAAATAATAAAAATACTAGTAGCTTACGAATCTTTACATTTTGGCGTTAATATATTCTTCAAGTTGACCTTGAGGGTCCATTGTGGCGTTTTGTTGGACCGCGTAGCCAGGATGTGCGTCATGCTACGCCGCCTACATAATAGCGGATTGCCAAACGCTACGTGCTACGTGTTACCGGTTACGAGTAATAAAAGCTATGAATACGATCGCGACGCAACGATCTTCTATTAAAAAATAGTCTAGGAGCCAGTATTTCAATTTTATCTTTAAGATACTGCGAAATAGGAAATAAAATTAAGCGGGTAATTACTGATAGTTATGAAATCAAGCATGTTTCAGTGACTCACATTTGCACTGAGCAAAATTCTGCAAAACTCATTGTCGTCTAGCTAACTAGTTAAGATAACCTCCAGGTTGTCATCCTAGGTAAACATCCATGTTTCATACATAATTTTATATCTCTGCTACCGCATTCTATCTTTAGGAAGGTGCTTACACACTATGGGACTATAGGATAAATTGCAGGAAGACTGCCAAGGATCCATTACGGAATCGATGAATCAGAGATGATGTAATCAACTTAACTTGTTGATGAACTTAATTATTCCAAACTTATAATAAAACAACTTTATTTTTTAAGAAATATTAAAACGGATATAACTACTGGCTCTTGTACTTTTCGTATTGGCTTAGCAACCGCCCCCGGTCATTCGACTTATCGCACATCTGCAGATTGCCTATTAAACGAAATCTACTAAATAAATTATACGTGTACGATCATATAGTGGTTTTGGGTCTGTTTTACGTAATGACTTATACAATTTAATTATAGATAGAATCAGTGTTTTATTTTTAATTTTTAAAGATTGTATATATAGACCCCGGATCTCGATTTGGCGCGTTCTAACACTCCTCTCTCGCTTCTACATTCATACATCTAAGCATATATGCAAGTCGGTTTCGGGTGCACTTAATACCGTCCTTCTTGTCTATTTCATCAATCTGGACGTTATAAGGATCTCTCTGATATTTGGCATGGATGTAGAACATTGTCTGGAAAAACACATAGGCTACTAATTAAGTTTTTAATTCCGCGCGTACGGAGTCGCGGGCGACAGTTAGTATACAAATAGTTGGCTACATCGGTCAAATTTGTAATCGCTCGTATGCATGTTAAGTAATAGCCAAAGAATAAAAGTTAGGGGTCTTTGGGCTAGCAAACGGATGTGGGCAGTCCACCCTAGAGGGCGCTGCTATTAGCACCCAAGGTTAAGGGCATTGCTCTCCACCGCAGTATTAACATGCCAGACCTCTTGTAATAGCTTATCTTCAATCACCACGCGAGTTTACATCGGTCAAATAGGACACGAGAAAATTCTTTTAAGAAATCCAACGTCTTTTATAATGTACTAGCGGTCGCCCACGACTCCGTTCGTAACAAGTAGCTTATGTGTTCTTTCAGACTATGTTCTATAGGTATGCCGCATTTCATCAAGATCCGTTCAGCCGTTCTGGAGATATCTACAAACAACAACCATCCATCTAAACGTAATCTTATCTAATCTAAATATTTATAATATTAGCAAGATGTTCATTTTAGATTCATTTAAAGCGATTAGTGTCTGGAGTTTAGACTATGTCTGTGTAAAATAAAGTTTGACAAACCTGACAAGAAATAGGGAATTCATAAAACTATAAACTGAATTGATTGTGAACTCCTGTAAAGTTTCGGAAAAAATACACATCGAAAGATTCCTAATTTTTGGAATCATGTACATAATTAGGGCTGAAAAAGAGTGCAATTCTATACATGTAAGATCGACATTTCCTTAAATTTTGTGGGATCATTTAAATATCATTCATGCGGATGTTTTTTTCCTGAGAAAAAAAGTTTTTTTTTTTGGAGTTTTTGACACTATGTTTTTGTTATGTTTCTATATTGAAAACTTACATAAACGGAGAAAACTTTGACAAAGGTATTTTAAGATGATAAATGAGTATGTGAAAAAGTTGACGTTATTTAGATTGCAAGTTGCCGTGACCGGTAATGTCAATTAGTGGCCATTTTTGTATACGTGTAAGGTGTATGTCTGTATGTATGTTAACCCTAACGACCTTGAACACGACCTTGAACTGCTTTACTTCCCAGGGTTGAATCCCAGTCATTGGAAATAAAATTATGTGTAAAAATGTAAACATTATTAGTTTTTAATAGTAGTTATTGAGAAATACATAAATATTTTTTTGTTTTACGACAAAAAACACACTGTACATATTTACTCTTAATATTATAAATGCGAAAGTTTAGATGGACGGATGGATGTTTGTTAGAAGATGGAACGGCTCAACGGGTCTCGTTTAAATTTGGCAAAGATGCAGAACATAATCCCGAAGAACACATAGGCTACTTACTAAGTAACTTTTTTAATTCCGCGTGGACGGAGTCGCGTGAAAAGCTAGTACACAAAATTATCGAATTTGTGTACTATGTTTTGAAATGTTCACTTTTTCTATATTTTTTTTTGTATGGTTATCAAAGGTCATCGATTTCAATGTGTTTTAATTAAAAACAACACTACATGGAAATATAATAAAGCTATAATTTTACGTTACGTATTTTTTGTGAATTTATATGACTCAATTTCTGTAAACCGTGATAATTCCCGGTTAAATTAGATACGATGTCATGTTTAATAATTTAAACATGACATCGTATCTAATTTTTAAATTAAGTAGAAAGGTATTCTTGTAGTTGTTATAAGTATTTATTTTTGTTTAGGCAGTTAGCTTTGAGGTAAAATCTGTTTTGAGTTTTATGGCGTAATATCGATGGTAAACAAGTGCACTTTAAGGCCAAAGTGACGTCACAAACATGAATGTATCAGACATATCATCGCACCATAATGTCAGGCAACATGCGACGCATTACTGGAAATGCAGCTATTGATCAGTCAATCCCACCTTTTATGTTTGATTAGCTGTTGCCGCAATTTAAAAAAATAAAAAACTTAATTAGTAGCCTATGTGTCCCTTCAGACTATGCTCTACATCTGTGCCAAATGTTGTCAAGATCTATTGAGCCGTTCCGGAGTTACCTTCTAACAAACATCAATCCATCCATCCATTTCAACATTTATAGTATTAGGAAGACGTGAATGTTATTTTACATTTTGTTTTTGGCCATGTGTCTTAACTCTTATTGGAATTTTTTGTGATATTTTAAGTAAACTAAACGTAATTTTAAGACAATGGTCATTCGCACTATTGGTTAGTGCAAGATTTTTATCATCATTTTCGTTGTTGTCTACGACTCAACGTAGACTTTTTTGTGATATCACACTATGACCTTGACAATACAGCTACTTAGTTTCAAGTCCTTAGCCCTTACCATGAAGGATCTTTCTTGAGTTTCATGTTGTTGTAGAGCGCTCTTGGCGTGCTGGCATACGTGAAGGGTCCCTTTGGCCGCTGCGGGCCCTCCACGAGCACAGAACGCATTGACATGCTCATCTCAACAGGTGGAAACCAAACACAAAACACAAACACACAACACTTCACGCACTATCAATAATGACGTATAAATTGTCATTCAAACCCTAGTTTAAAAATCGAACTATCCATCCTCCTTGCTATGAATTTAATTGTGTGTGACATCACTTTTAATTATAAAATGCAGACACTTTCCAGCATTGTTTTTATTATCTAGCCTGTTGTTGCTATAGTGATCGATAAACAAACTCTTCCGGTTATTGGTTATCCACCAAAGAGTATCTAAATTAATTAAAGGAATTGACAATATTGCTAAAACTTTCTATCACTAAAATTTATGAACTTATTCTTTGCAAAAGATTCAGTTTATATTGTCCTAGCTTTTATTTTTTATTTATGTAAAAATTTTTGGTATTTTATAAAATGAAAGTTATAAAATCTTTTATCAGACAACGCCATCTGTTGCCTACACTTCACACTAACTTAATTGTTCTATTTCACGCATCAAATGAGCATTGTAGTAGTCATAACTTACACCATTAGATGGCGTTAAATAGGTTTCCGCTTTTAAATAATAATAGAGTAAAATTAATCCTTCCAACAAATTTTACTTACTTGAAATTAAATGAAATCATTTTCCGTAAAAAATTATCATGCAATAGCTAAATCTCAAGATACGAAAACGGATATTGCAAATATTCGTGATCGATCCTCAGATCCTAAAATAACTTAGTCTTAATTAAAAAGATTATGAATTGGATTCTCTTGTCGGCAGAGCATGAGGCTTTGAATAACGATAGATAGGGCAAGATTTAAGAAGGCTTGCTAAATAAAAAAAACACCTAGCTCTACTTTCATACCCATCTGTTCATTATGATCAAATTCTATCCAAACAATTTATAGCCAAGAAGCTAAGCTAAACTTTAATCATCCCTAATCCACGTTTTACGAACATAATATCAACAAACTTACAAATAAAATCCAAACACAAATAAAACGAGCAATAAATCCGTTCTGCCCTTTTTGGAACTACTCTAGTATGACTTGACAAATATCCCGAGCCGTGTCCGATGCGTCCCCGATGAAGACGTCATAAAATAATGACACTGGAACTTTCCGCCAGATCATTCTCCCACGTAATTACCCCCAAAATGAGACAGAATATAAGGTGATTGAAACTTTATTTTTTTTGCAACAGAGTGCAATATAAAACTGTGTTTTTGGTCTAAGGGTGTTGCAAATACGAAGGATAGAATTGTCAAAGCGTACAGCAATAAATATATAGTTGTCGTGAGCGTAGGAGCGCGCGGTTTAATGACGCGTGCGCTCGCAGCGCTCGCAGCGCCACTTCCGCGCGCTTTTGTCATAAAAAAGCGCGCGAGACGTCGCCGCGTGGCGCGCTTCCTCCCGCCATGGCGGACGTTTTTTTACGAAATCAATGAATGGATATTTATTTATTGCCTTAATGATTCCATCCCAAAGATTTACTTTAAGTTTACAAAGTACACAAAAGTATCTACATCTATTATTGTACAGTCTTATACCTACTTTTGATCAGCCTACACGATTACACAAATACTATTTTGATAGAAATCCATCGATCGAAATCGAGATATTTTTAGTATAGAAAATATTTAATTTATAACTGATCGCACGTAACAATAAGTGACAGGTGATGATATTGTAATTGTGAGGACAATGAGTCGTCGAAGCAGCTATTGTTTTTCTTACTGACCGTCTCCGTGGCGTGTGAAGTGGCAATAACGATGTGACTCGTAAAATTTTATAGCATATTGTTTTAATTTAATACGCAAAACAAACATATCATACTATACACGTGTTTTTATGACCAAAGAGGTATTTACGTTAACGACTATGAGTATAAACTACACATTTAAGTATAATTCTATATGTATTAGCCATTTTCAATAATATTAAACCTCATGATATCCGATTAACTCTCCAGCCCCGTTTCGAACGTATACAAGAACAAAATGTACGGCAAAGGATTTATTTATTAATTGATAAAAAATAATACATCTTTTTGTCGCTGAAAACTTAGTCAATAAAATAAATACTGCAATTTCCTGGCGTACGTGCTATTGCAGCTGACTTCCGTGTCTCTCTGCTTGATTTATAGTCGCTTTTTTATCTGTGCGACTTGCACAGAGTATATAGACTTAGCTATAACGACAGCACGCGCCTCCACTTCCACTTTATTATCCGCGTGTGTTGCCATATTGATAGAATTAAAAATCATAATGAACTAACGCGAAGTAAAGACAGACATGTAACAAATTACGCTTCCGACATAGACTATTTAGTTTTGTCTATGTTTGCTTTGATTATGACAAATATTAATGTCTACTATGTTTTGCAAGACATGGTTTTATAAGTTTTTGTGGTACAAAGTGAACTGCATAAAACTGTGATTTCTATGAGACGATTATGTTGAAGTTAAAGTTGACTGTGTTTAAGTTAAATACAGTAACTTAACATTTTTATTTGAAAGTAATTTATCTTGGTCTCATTCCTCTTTCCATAGCTTTTAAAAGTTATAAAAACTAATTTTTCGAGATTCCTTTTTAGGATGGATCACAAAATTCTCCAATAAGAACTCATTTTCGGTATGTTCCCAAGGGATAATTATTTTGATGTAATCTCAATCGCCTGCTAAGATAAAAGAAAGTGACTTATCGATTTAATTTTGTTAAATCTTTGAAGAAAATCGATCGCGGTTTAAACCCACCTAATGGGCAGCAGACGACGACAAGAAATTGTGTTTGATAAGTGCACTGCATCAAATTTAAAGTATGCCATACACGGCAAGAATAATGACGATTCAAAGAATTTCCTTTTCTATACTCACCTAGCGAAAAAACTACTTACACATTCATTTGAAAATGAAAATATAACAAAATAAAGATAATTTTCAAAGTTTCTAAACTTTTGCCGTTTTAAGTTATAATATAATTTCTAATAATTTTAGGATCGTTATTGCTCTTCAAATGATTTGACTATTTATTTTAAATAATTGCATGAAAATTAAATCAAAGTTATTCACAATAACGTGTATGGCTGCCATTAGTTGTACAGTATACAAGTCGGGAAGTTCGCCTAAAAACTTGGCTCCGACCAATTTATTAGAGTAGGCCGTACATTCATATGTATTGTGACCCGACTTTGAAAAACTATCCTTAATGAAATCAATTGAATTATACATAAGCGTGGCCCATTTCGGGAATTAGGGGGTCGCAAGAAACGGGCGAGAGTCTTGTGGGGGGCGCGGGGTCGATTCCTATAGACACGGACACCGCTGCGACCCCCTGCTGCAGATTTCACTCACCAGTGTTCAGCTTTATCCAACAAGAAATATTGTTTTAAAACAACGTAAAATGAATAACGAATGTTAATAAACTGTTTGAAAGAATTTGACGAAGTTTTTATATATTTGTTTAAACGCCGATTTGAAACTCCTCGTGCACATTTTATTCCATCCAAAGTTAGAAACTGAAATTTCTAGTGCACTCTTGGACTATCACAGGATTTTCTTACGTTAAAGTCTTAATAGATATGACTTTGCGAAGTATCGATTTAGCACAAGCTTTAAAAACAACGTATTGCGTTGTACAATATAATAGTAGTCGCTCGCGACTCCGTCCGCGCGAAGTTAAAAAACTATAATTAGTAGCCTATTTTCTTCCAGGTTATGTTCTATATGTGTGCCAAATTTCTGGAGATACCTTCAAACAAACATCCATCCATCCTCTCATTCGCATTTATAATATTAATAAACAATATAGGTATTGTTAAAGAATACATAGACGAGAGTTTTTTTCCCGAAATGTTTTATTAAACGATTTTAACTGATAACTTACGAGTTTTGTTACCTTTACTCTAAGTTTATTCGTAAGATGTAAACAAAAACCGATTATGCGTGAGTCTTGTGTAGGGCCACGTGATACATTACCATTCACTTGAATTGATTGATAAGTCCAGTCGTTGTCTATCAGAATATTCCAAAATTATCCAAAAGTAAGATGACTACAGGCAAATAAAATATTCATGTTTTCTAATACGGCTGTATTAAAAAAAGCCGTCACTCAGACAGAATAAATAAATGCCTAATTAAAACGACGCGGACGAATAAAATTGTTTACACCAATTTTTACTTATGTTTTTAATATTATTTTGTGCAATCACCTTTTGAATGTACATCTGCTAAATGAAATAGAGTCGTAATTAAGAGTTGTGTAAAATCAGGACTAATCATTCGATAAAACATTAATTTGTTTAAGTTTCCTCGTAATTAATAACAAAATATTGAGCCAAATGTAACATACATACGTCTTGACATATGTAAATATGTACTATATATAATATATTACATAAGTTACGTTAAAAAGTCATATGTTTACAAAAACATATCTTAATGTCAATAAAAAACTTTCCCATATATCCTTGGCATTGTTCGCTAGACCAAACAAATACCGCCTCAAAGATTCGTGTTGTACCAAAGAGAGATAAGATTTTCACCTCATATGTGAATTTTAAAAGAGCAAAACTTAGAATAAAGTTTACGAATCGATATACTAGCGACAAAGATTCATACTTTTAAACTAAAAAGTATACGAAAATGTACTTTATTGCACGGAAATAAGGGTGAGGTTTATAATGTCGTGATGCAAGCCGTGTGGAAGGCGGTCGATGGTGGATATGCTAATCTTTGCTACTGTTTCGCCGCGGTATTGTCCGCGCGTTTTATTTGGGCTGTGTAACTTATGGCCGCGAGCTCAGAGCACCGCCGACGCTTTGTTTCCACCGGGCATTGTCGATTGTTCACTCATATCTTGTAATATTTACGTATCTTATTTTTTTTGGAATCGGACCTTATTATATGAAATAATAAAAGGAATCTGCGGAAGGATTTTGCTTTGGTTCAAAGTTTTAGAATGTACTCATTTTATTTGTAAGAAATATTTCTGCCAATTTGTTTTAAACAGGATTTAGTATTAGACATTTTTTTTTTAAATATGTCTCATAAGATGACATAGAATAACTTTGACTGGAAATTATTTTATTTATTTTCGACATGAGATTTTTTGAATTGATTTAGTAAATATTAAACAATAAATAATGTAGCCCACAAAATGTGTTTTATAA